CAAAGGCGCATAAGGTCTACCGACATAATTGGCCTTCCCCAAAATCCACCATCTACCCCCTTCGCCTTTTTTTGATCTCTCTTTCATCAATAACTGCCAAAAGCTAAAAGTTAAGGAACATCAAGCGCACGAATCATCACGGCTAATTAATCTAGATTATCGCCTTAATCTCGATGGGCAAAGGGGGCAAAAAAGCCGGCACGGGCGGGGCACTCGTCCACGTGGAACGCTCTTATCGATCTCCCCCGACTAATTAAACCCCCCCACCTCCCCGCTCCACCCCCTCGCTTTTGCTCACGCAAAGCTTTAGGCGGCTGCCTAATCTCTTTAAATTAATCGCCCCCCTTCCTTTTGGATGGAAAACTAAGTGCGCGTTTTCCTCTCTTAAAATCCCCTTTTTAATGTCTCGTTTTTTAATCTCCGTCTCTTTTTTTGTTATTTATTTAATTTTTTTCCAGGAGCCGAGCCGTGCATATATATATATATATATCAATAGCTCCCCACGTGCGCGGACACGTGACTCGGGTTCCGAGACCGGTGTTCTCATTTTAGCCGCGCACACGTATCTAGGCGGCACGTGCGTCCACATCCCATCGATCGAACCATTAGTATAATTAGACATCGTTAGATCGCACGGTTACCAAATTATACGACGGCGTCGATCTCTTCGCGGGTACTCGAACATGATCGGCTCGATTTAATTATCCCGCCGCGATTTATTACATCACTTGACGGACCGGTTGATGAATTAATCTTTGTGACATAACCCTTTCAGGAAGCTAAGAAACGGGTTTCCATGTAGTCATGTCTCGGCGAAATCAAGGAAAGAAATGTGCCCTCAGGTTCACGATGCCTTTTTATTAGGGGCGTGCAAAACGGACTGCCCAAATCGGTCAGTTTGGTCTGATTTCCGGGAATGTCGCTCCTGTTTCTAGTTCCAATGGGGAACCTGACCGAACTGGATTGACCGGACCAACTGCATATATATATTTTAATTTTTTTTTTTTAAATTTCTTCACAAAATAGTAAAATGTAAATTAAATCCCGAGTAAATTTCATTGACAAAAATTGGCAAAATTTGAACTAAGCCCTAAGTAACCGGTTCCATTGAATCGGATTGAAAAATCGATCACCCCCTAATTTTTATTCTACAAGAAAAAGAGAGGAGAAAGAAGATAGATAGTGGGCATTTCTAATTTTTCTTTCTTCCTTTCTTATTTGGGGGGCGTGTGACTATTGTTCCGAGGTCGGCACGTTAAGAAGCAGCTTCACAAATTGAGAATTTCGCACCCCCCCCGTTTCCTTGCGATGGCGGGGAGGGGTCAAACTTGGACAGTCGAGGCCGATTCCGGGCCGTTGCTTCGCATCAGGGAAAAGGCGTAACGGGGGGGAGCAAAAGTCGGCGGGACCACCGCCGATTCGGCCACATCCGCCCGTTCCATCCGTAAAGCGGGGCTCGATGCGCACGCAAAAATTCAATGCGTGCCCAATTAATCGAGGGCTTCCATCGAAGTCGCACGGCTTAAGGACGTCCCACAAGCGCCGTTACGCCACGTGATCTTATCTGTAAAACATCAAAACTCTATGGAAATCGCACGGCCGTAATTATTGGGCCTATTTTCTGTCTTAATTTTTTTTTTTCGCTCCGTTATCCTTGTGACGCCGAGAACGAAGCGGCGGTCTAAAACGAATAATAGATCATCTTTCATTCTTTCTAGAAAAATTGCGTAACGGCATCATTAAACTCGTTAGTGTGGCGGCGGACCTAATTTAGGGAGGGATAAATGGAGATGCCGACGCTCCCTACCCAAAAACCAATTAGGTATCGGGTGACCATCGATTAAGAAAGTTATAACTCGTTCCTGCGATTTAGAATTTTCTGATGGGGCCGAATTACAGCCGGCCATTTTTATACTGCTTATATATGCAAGTACTGTGACGTGGTGTTACCGAAGTTTTTCGGGCACGGCATTATATTAGGTATAAACTTAAAAAAGGAAGAAAAAAAAAACAAAGAAAAAATGAGGAATGGCCCTTATCATTCGATGCGTGGTGATTGGCGAGCGAGAGGATAGGGGGTCGTTTTCAGCCATCGGATCTCGACGTGTCCCCAAAATCTAATCGATTCCCGTTGAAAATTGTAACTTTTGTATAACATGAAGATAGACCATATAATATATGAATAAACATATATTTATATACACGCTCCCTTTATTTTCTTGGAGATCGAAGGCGTGGCTCCGCACGTGTTGACGCGGTCAGCGGCGCCGGGGGTGCGTGTTGGGGCGTGGTGTGGGGCGTGGTGTTGGGGGGGGGGGGGCCCACGCCGAAACCGGAACGCGGCGGTCGGGTGGTCTTCCACCCGGGTTGAAGTGGGATGGTGATTACGGGGATGCGATCACGGAGGGGCGTTCTGGGGATTTCGCGGTGGACGGCGTTTCGATTTTCTTCCCCTTGGAAGCACGGGGGGCCGTCTTTTGGACCGGACCCAAAAGCCCGCCCCCCCACTCGTTGGCGTGGAAAAACGTTTCAAAGATTACGACCGAAATCCGCGCACGTAACTCGCATCGCGACCATAACCACCGCGACGCGGACCGTCCGTACGGGCGTGCCGCGGTTGGAAAATGTGATTGACGGTCAAATAATTGGCCATTATGACCAAAAGAAAAAGAAAAGAAAAGAACGATGAGCCATTTTTGGGGAGATCTCTGGCTGCCGATTACATCGACGCGTAAATATTTTTAACGGATTTGTTTTTTTCCTTTTTGTTTCTAATTTTCGATTTGACCAGGTGCCAGAAGGGCGAGGGCGAGCACGAGAGGAGGTTGTCTCGATACTCCAAATCTATGTTCACGTCAGCTCGCGCGTGAGAGAGTGTGAGCGGAACTCATGTAAAGAGTGTAAAGAGATCGAGCGGAGAGTGAGAGATTTTTCACTTCTTGGTAAGAGATTGAAACTTCGAGCCTCGAGGAACCTGTCTTTGAAAGTCCTAAGTCTTTCACGAGTTCATGCAAATAAGTGATGAGTGAAGAGTAGCTCGGGATGAGGCTCCCTCCCTCCTTTCCGGGGAAGTATTTGAATATTTAAATATCAAATCATGTCTTCATTTATCAACTTAAAATTTAAAAACTATTACCAATGATATCATAAAATTCCACGCACGGCAGCGGATCCTATCTCATGGACCTCATTTTTTCACTCCTTTTATTAACCTCAAATTAAAATAAGCAAACGGGTCCAATTAAATCAACGAAAATTCAAAAGGAGAGGGGAGAGATGATGGGTCCCACGGGGGGCCGATGGAAAGAGACGAAATGGTAATAGGGGGGGGGGGGGGGGGGGTGATATCACGATATATGATCAGATGTTTTTCCAAAGGTGATAGGCTGAAAAGTACGGTGGCCGATCCCCATCTCGACTAATTATAACGATACCACGTACATACACACACATCGCACCACGCCCCATCCCCCCTGTTGGCTCATCAAAAGTCCAAGGGCGGGATTACATTATTGCGTAGAATCTAAATCCCCATTAGATTAATTAATGGAGTTTGTTCCCATCATGATCCCTCCCTCTCTCTCTCTCTCTCTGTCTCTCCATCTGCTCTAAAGAGCATGTCTTTTGACATTTCTCTCGTCCCATGGATTTTCTAGGGCAAAAAAAGCATGCGCGCGATGATCGACCGTCGGGCTCGCCAGCCCTTTTCGGGAATTAACTGTCCTGGAGATTGTGAAGACCCTGCTCGATCCGCATCAATTGTCCAGATTTCGTTTTCACCTGACCGAAAGAGAATGCGTTTTTGTTGCGGCCTTAACATAATTCAAATTCTTACGGTGCTTTCGAAACAACGCAAAGGCTTTGAGAAAAAAAAAAACTCCTGGGTTGTGCATTTTTTATCTGCCCGGGAAGGTTGGTTATGGATGGCATCGTCATGGTTTGGAACGAGACCCGCCTCGTGCTTCGGTTCGAGCATCCGAAAGCTCCGAGCCCACGAACGTCCGTGGAACACATTTTACCTGGTGAAGACCGCCCTTCCTTCTCGTGCGATCCTAACAAATTTCGACTGTTAAACCTACGCGAGAGAGATACCGGAGACATATTAAAACCATACGAATGTCAATACGAATTTCAAACATTTTAAAAAAAGGGAAATTTCGGATGTCGGGGGAGAAAGCGAGGCTTGCCCGCTTTCCTTTGCCGTGGTTAGGCAGAGAAGCTCAAGGATGGGGCGATCGGGAAAAAAAAAAAAAGGGCGATCATGGAATTCCATGTTCAACGAATACGCAAAATTCCGAATTTGACCGGTCAACGCGGGCATCATGACGGGCACCAAAACGAGGCCAAAAGGGCCCGCGCGAAGCCAGCTCGCGAACGGAAACTCCCTCCCCCCCGCCCCACCTACGCCGCGTCGCACACAATCATTTCCCACAAGAAGCCGATACGAACCTGTTAACCCCCGCCCCCGTTGACCGCTGACCGCAAAAGCGAAAAAGGAAGGGCGAGAGACGGGGGGGGGAATTGACCGCACGATCCGTTGGACAGGGGTCGACGATCCAACGGAGAGCAGGAGGCGCGCTGTGTGGGGCCCGGGGGGGGGGGGGGGGCGGGGCGACAGGGACGGTTTCGTTTTACCCGGTCAACACGTGTCTCCACCGGCTACCGCCGGTGGGCAGCCAAAACGGCGCCCGCAGGAAGCCAAACCGCGGAAAACACCGAAAAGGACAAAGAGGAAAAAAAGTCCCGCGTCCCGCCGTCGCCGCCGCCACCCGCCACGACCTCTTCCTCCTCCTCCTCACTCCCACCCTCCGCATCAACGATCGCCGAGAGCCCAGACAAAAAGCAGAGAATAAAATAGAATCCAATTATTTAAAAAGAGAAAAGAAGAAAGATGATAAGTCGTGCCGAAATTATAAAAACAAACGCAGGGGGAAGGCGCATCGTTATTAACTTCTAATTCGATCGTCCTTAACTAAAGAGAGAGGGAGAGAGCGCCCCCCAACACCGCACGGCTCCGCGTTCGCGTGTCTCTCTCTCCCCGGACGTCCGGCTGCTCGGCAAACTCCACGGCGGAGGCCCTCCGCCCTTTCCCGATCCGAGAAGCGGAGCATCGACCGGCCCCGATGAAGGTAAAACACGAGCGCGATGGTGATTTTTTTTTTTTTTAATATATATTTTATGTTAGGAGATATTAGTCCCAAAAGGGATTAATCGAGGTGAACCGAGTTCTCTGGGGAATCGCGGGTTTTAGCTGCTAATTAAATTGAATTTCCCCGTTATTATTATATCAGGGAAAAGTTGGGGGGGGTGGGAGGGGAGAAAAAGGAAAAGGGGGAAAAAGGAAAAGATCCTGCGATTTGCGGGCTTTGTCGTGGTTATATACATTGTTAGGACAGCCATTAAAATATTAAAGCGAGCTGCGCGAGAGAGAAGAGGAGAGAGAGAGGAGAGAGAGAGAGAGAGAGAGAGTTGGGGGGGGTCCTCCTTCGCCATCAGCAGCCAGAGCCGGGAACGCCCAGAGCTTTGAGCTCTGATTTGCAGAGAGACAGAGAGACAGAGAGAGGGGGGGTCACGAAGAACGCGAAGAACAGAAGCTGCGTTTCTAGAGAGAGAGATTTTTGTGTGCGTGCGTGCGTGTTTTTGGGAGGTGCGGGGGGGTTAAGCTATAAATTTATAATTACCGAATAGAAAGTCTCGGCCTTCTTTTTTATCACCTCCTCCTCCTCCTTATCCAATCCCTGTAAGTCCCCCTCCTATTCCCCTCCCCTTCCCCGCCGCTGTGTTTGTTGTTGTTTTGTTGTTATCCTTCCCTCCCCCGCCCCCGCCCCCGCCCCCGCCCCCACCCCCCTCTGCGCTTTTCTTCCTCCGCTTTCCCCCTAATCCCTCCCTCCTTCCCCTTCTTCTTCTTCTTCTTCTTGTGTTTCCTTCTTCGTGCTCTGTAGTTTTCATCGCCCTTCTTCTTGTTTTTGGGCCGTGGATTAGGGAGAAGCATTGTTAGCGATTGTAGTGGCAGATCTAGTCTAGCTCTCTAATTCATGCCCCCGTGAGTTTTTTTCTCCTCCCCCCCCCCCCACCCCCCTTCCTTTTCGAGGCTCTTGACCACCTCCTCCTCCTCCCTCCTCCCTCCGTCTTTCCCAATCTTTGCGTGCGCCGAAGCGGAATAGATCTGCGGTCTCGTCCTGGGAATACCAGGCGGACCGACCTGCTCCGGCTTAAATAAATATCTATACATATTTTTTTTAATTTTGCAAATCGAATTTCGAGCCTGCGCCGTGTGCGTGCGTGCGTTCAATTGCTTGCGCGCGTGGGGAACGAATCGGGCGATTCCGGTTTCGATTCGTTCGTCCCCGATGCCTGCTGTTGCTGAATTGAATCGCGCTTTGTGCATACCATTTGTTGACGAAGATCGGGATGGAGAAGAGATGATTTTTTTCCTCTTTCTCCTCCATCTCTGTCTCTTCTCTTTTCGTGATTTTCCATGCGCTAAATCGATTGGTCTTTGTTTATTTGGATTGAATTGCATCGGCTTCGTTCCCTGCTTTCTTTGGCCCCTAACGCTAACGGGTGCTTTCTGTCCGTGAACAGACTTTGCTGGGACCTTCGGTGCTCGCAAGTCGCAATTTTGTTTGAAGGGGGTCTTCATTTTCTGGGTGAAAGGGGCAACCAAAAGAAGAAAAAGGAGAGAAAAGGAAGGTGGGGCTGATAAATCGGAGTGCGAGTGGTTTAGTAATTTTCTGGTTCTCCCCCGGTAGAATAACAAAGACATGTTGGAAGGTCGGTCCTGTCTGATCCCGAGGGTGCTTGCAAACTCTTGCCAGTCGGAAAGTAATTGGCCAGGTTGCATGAGTTTCCGGCTTGAAATCGACATTGGGAGTAGCAAGCATCCTCGGGATATTGATGGCAATGAAGATCACCCGCGCAGGAAGTCGTCGAAGCTTTCGGAGTCGCAAGAAATCGATGGGCACGCTCAGGATTCGGGGGAACAACCCAGCGATCAACGTCATGCTGGGGACAATACGCATTTGGATTCTCTCATAGGTGCCATTGGGAGGGACAACTCAATCAGCTGTCTCATCCGCTGCTCGAGATCTGATTATGGTTCCATAGCCCTGTTGAATACCAGCTTTCGGAGTTTGATCAAGAGCGGCGAGCTTTATAGGTTGCGTAAGCAGTACCGCGTGATTGAGCACTGGATATATTTTTCTTGCCATTTACTCGAATGGGAAGCTTTTGATCCTATTCGCGGTCGGTGGATGCATTTGCCCAGAATGATCTCCAATGAATATGTCATATTTCCTGATAAGGAATCCTTAGCAGTGGGTACAGAGCTTCTGGTGTTCACTAAGGATATGACAAATTCGCATGTGATATACAACTATAGCCTTCTAACAAATTCATGGACTTCTGGAATGAGTATGAATGCTCCTAGATGCTTATTTGGGTCTGCGAGCCTCGGGGAGAAAGCAATACTAGCTGGCGGTTGTGATTCACAGGGGAACATTTTTAACTCTGCAGAGATGTACAATTCCGAGACTCGGCAGTGGTTACCTCTTAATAACATGCACACACCCAGAAAGATGTGCTCGGGAGTGTTTATGGATGACAAGTTTTACGTGATTGGTGGGATTGGTAGAAATGAAACGGGTCAGCCAAGAGTTCTCACATGTGGGGAAGAGTATGATCCAAGGACACAAACTTGGACCGTAATTCCTAATATGTCGCCTGTGAGGGGAGGTCCAGCGAGGGAGGCCGAGGTGCCTGCAGCAGCGGAAGCACCTCCTCTAGTTGCAGTGGTTAACAACGAACTGTATGCAGCTGATTATGCTGACATGGAGGTGAGAAAGTATGATAAGGAGAGGAAGGTGTGGTTTACAGTGGGGAGATTGCCTGAACGTGCAGACTCAATGAATGGTTGGGGAATTGCCTTCAGGGCTTGTGGAGATAGTCTTATCGTCATTGGTGGACCTAGGACGCCAGGTGAAGTTTTCATAGAGATCAATTCATGGGTTCCAAGTGAAGGCCCTCCGCGTTGGAACTTGCTCGCAAGAAAGAGTTCGAGTAACTTTGTGTATAATTGTGCCGTGATGGGATGCTAAACAGTTGGATATTTTAGCATCTTGTGTACTTTAGCAGTTCCTCCCTCCCAAGGGTTGTACAAGATCGGCTTCTCCTTCAACACAGGATTCTTGCTAACGGGTATTTTTCCCCTCTTTCTTTTTATTTCTCTTCCCCATTGGGACTAGGGAAGAACGGGGAATAATTTCAGATTTCCTTCTTCAAGAATTATAGAAATTTTTTTCCCAAAAGAGGAGGTCATGATTTCACTTTCATCTTCAATACATTAAGTTTCATTTCCACCATTGAGTCAGTATTTTCCTCCTTTCTTGTAAAGTTTGGAATATCTAATCGTCAGCAATCTTTTAGCTGCTACAGGTTCTGAGTTTTATCTTCTCAGGATACAAACCAGACATAAGAGTCAAATTCTTTGGGCTTCGATTAAAAAAAAAAAGGCACTAAAAAGTGGGTATATTTGGTATTCTCAATCGATCGCGTGCATGTCATTTGTTGACTTTAGTGTTGCGCTAATGAGTAGAGCTTTTCCCAGATTCGGGTCTGTTGCTTCTCTTCATTTTGTACCGTATATGTTTTTGGAATTCTGCTGTAGCGCGTGTCGTTCAAGTCAATTAGATGAGTACACCGTCATAATTTGTTGCGTTGAGATGGGGATCTTGTGCTTGACAATTTTGAATCTAATCAGATGTAGCCTTAATATTGATGTGGGGGCAAGCGTTTCTGGATTTCTTTTGGCAGTTATATTCAGTTGACTGATAAAAACGAATTTCTTCCGATTATTTGTCCTTTTCTCTGTTAATATAATGATCTGTACACTATGAGAACTTCTTTGTACTGGCTTTTCACATCTTCTATAGGATGCGATAGTTTTCAGGATAGCGACTCAGATTGTAGGGTCGTGATAGTTTGACCCTGTGACTCAGTAATGTAAATCGCTCTTAAAATTGGGCCCAATTTTCTTTTTCGTTCAACCAAGATTTAGGTAGGTTAGTTAGAGCGATGATGAGTGTGAAAATGTGGATTCTTTGTTGGGTGAGGGTCATGGTGGATGTGCCCATAAAGGATGGTTATTAATCAGTGGATTTTAGCATGTTTTCTTGTGATGTCACAGGGTGTTTGTCGAATTACCATGTGAAACTTGATTGGTTCGCTAAATGTCACGCTTTGTTTGAACTTTGAACAATATGACAGGATATCATTTATGCTTTAGTTGACTATTGAGAAAGCAAAAGTTTAGTGATGACCTCCTATTAAGTTGGAGGACTACCTTTCAGGTTTATTCTGTCTTTTCCATGTTAATACATATGCAATTGAATGAAGCAAATTAAAAAAGTTTCACATTTTAGGCCTCAACTATTGAATTGGTAGGATCTTGTGATCCTCATCCCAATCCCGTCAATCTTGTATATAGTTTGTTGTCTACGCGAAGTTAATCGAGAATTTAATCTGGAACAACTTGATTATCCAATTCCTAGTTTTGTGCGTGTGTATTGGTCATAATGGGCACTTCTTTGCCATGATATCTCACAAAATCAGATAATTGCAGAAAATGTTTCATATCGTTTATTATAATTTATCATTGTTGCTGAGAATCTAGTTGTGGAGGATGTTAACGTGATAGCATACTTCCTTTGCTGAATTGGGTACATTTTGTTTCCACGTAGTAGGACAAGGTGTCCAGGTTGATATGTGTGAGAAGAAAAGAATGACCACAGAGATATTCAAAACTCTTTGGATAAAGATGCTTTTAAACCGGACAAGTTTCCTGGCTAACAGTTCTTGAAAATTCTTTATGCTGGGCATGTCGGCAATGTTACTGTTGGTTGAAAAGTATCAATAGGAGATATTGAGTATATGTGGTCCAGGTATTAGTGGAGGTGATGATGGGGCTATTGGTTTATTGTTAATAGTCCAACAAGAAAGATGTCATCTGGTATGTGAGAAATGACTTGTGGGTGAAATATCATATGGATCCTGGTGACTTGATTTTGGAAATCTCTCTTCATGCTCTTCCAATATTTGATAGTTGTTTTGTGAATAAATCTCCACTGAAAAGGTGTCAAGTTATGTGAGAAATGACTTGCGGGTGAGATATTATATGGAATCTGATGTTAGGTGTGGATAGTACTGGCAGTTACATTTAGCAGTATGCATGAAAATGTACTTCTGATGTTATTGATGTTTATCATCCTGGAAGCAGTAGAGGTTCACCATGTCGGATAGGTTTCCCTGCCAAAACTCACATTTTTTTATGATGCACACATATGGTGACTAGACTCTCATTTTTAAACATAAATGGGGTTGCTTCCTTAAGCAGAGTGCGCAGGAATGTACTTGTGGTGGACATTAATAATATATCGACATGTATGACAGTGCCTAGTCTTATATACATATGTAAACAGGAAGAGCATGTAAGTGACAGTGCCTACTGTTCTCCTTTGAGATTGGAAAAGATCAGATGATCAATGTTATACATTGGCTTTCTTAGTAATAGATAGTATTTTCGGATTAAGCATGGTTGTTTGTTTCTGGTAGTACTAGGGTTGTTTGCTTGGGGTATAACCATTTTTGGCCCCGGACCAAAAGAAGTACTTATAATCAAAAGGTGAACAAATTTGAGATTGACCTTAAATGTTGAAATTCATTTGTTTTTGAAATATTTAAGGATTCGATATTAACCAAAAATGCGATTTTTAAATTCCGTTATTTGAGGTTAGTTTGTCCTGTCTTTCTTCAAGTACCTTTTGCTTTCCTTCCCAAAATTTTGAAATTGAAAAAAAAAATTGCGTTTGTATATTATGAAATTTCATAATATTTTACTGCTAATATTATTCCTTCAGAGATGTGCGTTGTTATGAGTTTGTTGGCAAATCTCTTGAATGTATCTTGAACCTCTGGCTGTGTATGTATGTGTGACAGAGCTCGCTTGTGCATTGATATGAACTTGAGAAGGATTTGCCATCCCTATTGTGTCCTTGCCCTAGTCATATTGTGCTTGCCCTCGTGGTGTACTGCTGGAAACACCTCATACGATGAGCAATGAGTATTTGCAGGGTATGTAACATCCATTATGAACTTGTGTGGAGTGATTGTCGGAGCTGTGGGAATTTGGATTTTATGACGATTTTGTCCTAAGGGAATGAATCTCATCCTTACAACAGAGCAGATTGGTTGTGCGCTCTATGTTTGTAACTTGTACTGTTGGCTTTTACTAGAGATAGACAAGGGGAGGGGCTAATTTGAGGTGGCTTAGGAGTAGTATCCTTTGCAATTTAAAAGGGGGGATACAAAATTTTGACTTGTGCTTGATCATGGCCCATACAGAAGCTTGAAAACTGTCGGGCTGATGCCTGTGGAAAGCCAGCTGGCCATCTTCCTTGAATTTATATTATGGTTCACTTGTAGTTACTTTTTGGTGTTTGATATGGATCAAGGCAAGAGTAGGTGGGTTCTATGTAGGCAAATGGCTTTCATTCTCTGTCTCTTTACTTGGCTTAACTTGCCATTGCAAGTGGTGTAAAACTGCAATCAGCAGTTTGATAATCTCTCTTTTCGTAGTTGGCTTATAAATGCGTCAATGCATTGATACTAGACCTTGGCCAAAGGATTCGGAATACCTAGATTGATCTGAAGTTGGCGGTTCCAAATAGCGTGTTGATTTTTCTGCTGTCTTAACCAATAGCTTCTGTTGGTCTTCTTCTTGGGCTACCTCAAGTATTCGTCTAAATTTTGGCTTGTCTGACTATAGATATAGATTGTCTTTTGGTGGTTTTTGTTTTTCTCGTCATACAATCTTTCTTTTGGTAATGCTTCTAGTTTTGTGGATATTTCTCTTATCTATCATGGGACAGTCGATCCTTTAGGATGGTAAACTCTCACGACGAGGTTTACTACCGATTCAATCCATTATTCTAGGAGTGTTGACATCGACGGGAAGTGACTTCTTTGAAAGTCGTGTAGCATCACACTTGATCGCGATGGGTGAAATTTTGGCTTGACATGATGATCGAGCAACCAGGTCAGCTAAAGTTCTTAGATGGCATGCTAGATTCTTTTCAATCAGGGCTGTGCAGCTTTGCTTTGCCCTAACTTGGGCTTCTTGTCTTCAATGAGTTGGTGCCTACACCTTTGGAAAAGGCTTAGTCACTGTCATCGTCGTCGTAATAAGAAAGAAAGTTTGCACCATTTGATGCATTAGTGTTTGATTAGGTTTCAAAGGAGTCACGTGGGAACTTATTTCAGGTGGTTTTTTCACCTAAACAGAACAGGTCTAAAGTCTGGGAATGGTGTCGACGTTATAGGCAGGGTGGGTGAATGGAGGTAGGAGAGTGCTTGCTCGTTCCTTTTCCCTTTGCCGAAGTCTTTTCGTGCTGCAGTTTTGCATTTTCTGTCAACTGGGCATTTGGATGGCAGTCATCTTTGGTTTCTGGTACGTGTGCCCATTGAATATTATTCTTTTGTTTCTCGGTGTGACAGTCCTACTTTGAGATGCAAACCCGACTATTTGCTTTGCTTGAACAAAATGCTTGGGGGTGAAGCTGCAGTATTAGTTGAATTTGATGGTATCACGAAAGGTGATTAGACTTGTCAAATCTGCACTCTCTCTATTTTATTTTATTCGAGCTGCTCGCTCTTATCGAATTGATAATGTGACTCCACATGTTCCTATTCTTAAGCCACGGACTCCTCCTGTCGGGTGCCTGTGCAAGGATATGCTAGTTTTGAGTCACTCGTGACTTCTTTCGGTAACTCGTGTCTCGTTCTGGCCGGTTCTATTTCACGATTTGCATGCACGATTGGACCTGACTATCATCTTTGCTTCCGCTTCGTGTGGGTACTCAGTGCGAAGGACATGGGGCTCTGGTAAATTTCTCAAAACCGACAAGTGAAAGTTATAAGGGAGGCGCGCCTGCGATTGCGAGGTTCTAGCAGGACGGTAGTATATGTAATTCATGAACCGACCACTCTTTGTAGTAAAGAAAATTCTCTAAACTTTGGTGGGCCCTAAAACCATATGGTATCACGCAATCGCATCGATGGTTCATTTAAATTTAGTCTCTCCACGATTAAGTTCTCTGCAGGCTGTAGAGGGAAACGCTCCAAATTTTCCCAGTGCGTTGGTGCTTTGCTCAGCGTTATGTACCTATGCATGTTTCCCAAAACAGTAACTTCACAACCTTTACATGATTACGCGAGACAACAGTACATGCTTTTAGTTTCCGATTGAAATTCAATGCCAAAATCGAAATTAGTCCTGACAAAACTTCGTTAAGATGGCCGTATCAAATAAATGTGGTCCGTAATCTTGCGGTGCTTCTCCATATTTTATGAAGACCTCTGGGAAAGAGGTGTTTCTT